GAAGATAGGAAACAAAATACCGATTTAATGATGATGAAAAAGAAAAGTTGAACAGTACTGCGACGTTATTTGGAAGTGTTTCATCGCGTCTATCCTCGAAAATGGTATTCTTAATTGTGGATATGACGGAAAAACTACAGTTCTGGCGCAGCAGCGTCAGAAATGTGGTTCCTTCGATTGACTGCTGCTGTGATGATTCTCCAGAAGATTCGGAACACAGTGATTCGAAACATCATCGCTTCTGAGCCGCTTGTATAAATCAAGAGGTCACGCTTGCAGTGATTTGGTCACCTGGACAGAATGCCAGGAACATCCTATGCGGTTTATAAGCAAAACCATGTCACACTCAGACCTAGTGACACCTTGCTGAGGTATATTCGATATGTGTCACTGTTGCAAGTCAAATCTAGTCAGTAGAGCTTGCCTAATTGGCGCAGAATCGGATCACTTGAAAAGCCACTTGTTCCGTACCCTGAGAGAATAGCGGGCTACGAAAAGCAGTGAATCATCTGTAGGATGAACTCTTCTTAGAGGCAAAAGAGATTTTAAATCGTTTATTTGATATCGTTGGAAAACCGTTACGAAACTCATGTTCGAAAATGGGTTATCATGAAACTCTGACACCTCATAAACAGTGAAAACCACTGACAAACTATGTCTGGTTGCAGTATACTCTCAGATACAGGGTTCCCTGCGGAACTAGACAACGTTCGTAAATTTTTACGCCAACAACTCGCTGAAGACTATGGTTTAATATGCAAGCAGACATCATGATGTAAGAAACTTTGTAGACATATTCGAGAACAGTGGTAGGGTATTTTGCTTTCCCAGGTATCAGCTATCGGTAAATCCTGAGATATGCAGAGAATTAGCTTCGATTTGAAACTAACAACTGATGCTTCAGTTTAACCCTTTTCATCTTACCAGTTGCTTAGAAGTGCCTATAAACTGTTATCGCGAAACCTCTTCAGAAGGTGCTGGTGGCTGCAAGCTTAGGGTTTTTTATATGTACGTTTTTTCTCTTGCCCAGAAATATACATTACTGCAAATGGCGAGAATGAAAATATAGATGGTAACGATAAATAGTCACAATTAAACAGTTGTGAGGATGTTAGAGATAACTAATGCGTTAAAAACAAGTCGTATGACAAGAAGTGTTAAGTGAAATGCGTCTAACTCATAGGATTGGATTCCCATTGCTGGAACTCCCACGGGCCACCCGATGAGCTTCACAGCTTCTTACCGATACTTTCTTAAAATAGACCTGCAATTTTCGTTAGATCAGTGTAAGCAAAGAATGATGTTATTCCATGGTGCTGAACAATGAGCTGCAGTGTAGAGTAGACCTGTCTTTGTACGCAGAACATATCAGTAGTCATTACGTGATTAACATCTCATTAATCGTGTATTGATCCTCGAAGGTTCATGTTTTGCGAGTTTCAGCTTAATGTAAATTTTCTAAACTCAGTTTAGATGACCGCTTATTTCTTCGGGTTGCGGAGGTACAGACGTCAGACAGTGTTTCCAGCATTCCCGACCCTGCGCCAACGTTTGAACTTCGGCAGAAGATAGCCTCAGTTTTGAGCAGAGTCCTTCGAGACACTTGCCTCATGTTATTATTGGCCGCCCTCTGGGTCTTCGGCTGGTCGGTTGAGTAAGTAGCAGCTGTTTTGCCTTCAATTCTTGAAAGATTCGCAAGACAAATCATCGCAGCTGTGATTTAATCTGGAGAAGCGGCAACTGTACACCAAGTAGTTGTAGGATATCGGTACTCCGTACCATGTTGAGACGCTTCAAGTTGGGGATTCGTCTCAGAAAGCTCATTTCTGCCGCTTGTACTCTGGTTCGAAGTTTTTCAGTCATTTCCCGCGACTCATGACTATAGATGAGCATAGAGATGAAGGGATGAAGATAGACTTAAGCACGTAGAACTTAGTCTTCGACTCAGCTCTGCTCTAGTCACAACGGTTGCGGCTAGTTCACGCAGAATACCGCTGGCTATTCCAATTTGCTGATTATCTCATGCCAGTTTCTGTCACCGGGAACACGACCCGGAGGTAAATGGACTCATACATCTGTTACACTGCTTTGCTGTTTATCTGCATACAGGAAGAACGAAAAAGCACTCGGATTTTCGTTTTAGATATGTTCTCACGCATGCCGGCATGTAGCACTCGGCTGAGACGCTTGTAAAAATGCACCAAGAAGTTCAATT